CATTCGCTACAATCAGAATTAGTTATTTGGAAAACTGTTGAGGAGCTGTCAATGTCTTTGAAATACACCAAACGCAGCAGTATTTTGCGCCCGGTCATGCATGGTTATGGGTTGTTGTCTCTCATCACATACACCATGTAGGCATGCAACTTTATCTCATTAAGAGACAGAGTTCTGCTTCGACGGCACACATGATTTTGTACCAGAAGTTGTAAGAACCAAAATGAAAATTCATAAACCTCTCGGTAATCGCTGTCAGTGTGAGGCAGAAGTGCTCGGAAGATAACTAGAATGGTAGCAAACGGCTGTCCCCTGGCAAGACTGTCGATGGCTTCCTCTTCTGAGGGTTGCTTGCAAGCCAACTGATAGCGAATTTAATTCCTTGGTTTATATATTAGTACCGATTTAAGAAAAAGACAAATCATAGAGAAATTGATGTCTTGTCGGCGAAGTCGAACTTCCAATCTGCCGCATGGTGGTGGTGCTATCCCACGCCCGTCGTTGTGTAGCATTTGCTAAAAGTTTCCATTGTCAGGCTTGAAAGTTGGCAGCGGCAATATGTGCTTGGTATGTAACGAACGGAGAAAATTTTATTCACTTGATGCTTGTCAGAAACACATGCGCGATAAAGGTCACTGCCGAGTTGCCAGCAGTGCTGCCGAAATGGTCGAGTTTGGAGACTTCTACGATTACAGGTGACGTGCACGGCTTTTTAAGGACTGTAGAGATTCGCTTATCACATTTCTTCCGTTGCGCTGTTGTACATGGATTTTTGCAACTGAGATTAATTTTTTATAGATTAGAATAGTACCTGTAGATTAGAAATTTTTTCCTACATTGTCCCTTTGGGGGGGTTTTACAACACCTCATTTGTAGGGTTTTACAACACCTCATTCCCACCGCTTTTGTATGTGCCATCTTAGTTTTACATTTTTCAGTTAGTGGCTAAGGCGCGCATATGTTTGCACAGAGTAAACAGGGCATACTGGTATGAGGTATTACTGAATTCGAGCATATACATATATTCGCTTAAGTTCAGCTGTTTCATGTTTTGTAATCCACGCTTTCTTCACGTTGGTCAACGTTTATCAAAAGATTGTAAATCAAACCCTACTCTTATTAAAACGATTATAGATCAACTAAACAAATTCCTAATTAAAACCAGTAGCACCGCGGAAAAAAAAAACAGTTTTGTCGACACCCTGTACTCAAAAATCAAGAGATCTCCAAGGATTTAGCGAAGCTGCTGCAGAGGGAGAATTTTGAGGCACCTGAATAGGTCTAAACTGCTTTTTTCGGGAGTAATTTAACGATAAAAATGTGTTATCCGTTGCAGTTCAATGTATCCTGAAAGTGATGACGTTGATGAATCCCCGGATATTCTTGTGACGGATGACGGATATACGCTTACTCTTCCGTCTGGTAAAATTCACATCTGCTCAGCACGAAGAACTGCCCAGTTCGACAGAGTGTAAGAGAAACAGTTTAGAGAAACATAGCTTAATTTTTTTCATGTACCATTTAGAGGTGTTTATAGGTGCAAAAATTGGACACCGTTCACTTCTGCGTTATTATCGACAGCGCTTGAAACCTCTTGGAAACATGACG